CTTGTTACCTGACGTTAATGAACAGAGGTAACACCAACACCAACAATTGTGTGACTGATGCAGTTGCACTCTCATCCGTAATTTGAATTGCTAATACTGTACGAAAGTAACAACCGCCTGTGGTTTGTTTTTGTAATGCATAAAACCATCAAAGGTGGGGGGAGGGGAGGAGGTTATTTGGGGATTACATGATTTTAAGGGAAACAGAAGGGGATCGGTCTTCGCCAACAGAATATAAAGGGGGGAACTATAGAAAATTGACTGCGAATGAGAGGGGGGGAGCCATAAGAATACTACAGAGCCTCATGGAGGGATAAAGTAAATTTTGTCATGATACAACCAAAATCCTCTCACCCCTCTCCCCCTGGAAGCGATTGATAGCGACCAGTCCCCTATATATATTAGTTCAAACATTGTTTGCTTTGTCAAATTAAAGAGCTAACTTACATTTTACAGGGGCTAGCTGAGGTTTCACTTTTGCGATCTAATCGGAGATAACTCTGACGAATCATTTACTCAACCGTGGAAATGTCGCTTTCCTCCGCAGGATACTGGCAGACACGCCTTGGTGTGAGTGCGAAACGGGATGGACCGCACGGGGAGAGATCATAGAGGAAGAACAGCGGAGACTTCTCACCGTCTCTCCCAGTCCCTCTCTCGATTAGCCGGCCGTTTATTGTTTTGTTTGGGCAGAGAGACCTCTGGGTAATATATAGGCAGATGCACAAAGTCAACGTGACTTGGCAGACTTCCGCCACAAGAGAACAAATGTAAATAAGAAAACGACTACAATTGTTGGGAATCGGAAGGGATTGATGAAAGCATTGCTTTTAGCTTTAACACTCATTTACTTATCAGAAAAAAATACCATTGCCATATTTTGACTTGATTACCTGACAATAATGTAACACTACGTAGTAATGTCAATTTTGCTGATACTGTCTTTTTCGCCGTAACTTGTATATGTAAGATAGGTGTTCGAAGATTGACTGTTGACCTGGGATTCAAATCATTCGTCTTACGGGGTAATTGCAACGATTTAAAACATTTTAATTCCTGCTAATCATACATTTCTGGGCCAGATCGGGCTTAGGCACCTTCTGTAAGAATCATAAATGTAACTACCACAACTAACATGTCAAGTGAAGGAAAACTCATCACCACTCTTTTGTTTTAAGGGGGAGAGAAATTAAATCTTGCGGTGATTCTTCATTAGTGACATTAGAATTCCGCAAATTTAATAATTTACGAATCGAAAATGAATGGGGCTTGAGAGGAAAAACGAACGAAAGAAAGAAAGAAAGTACTCGGAAAGGTCGCTCATAACATTTCAAGAGGCAATCAATATCAAGCGCACAGCCTTGACAAAAAGGAACACCAGTTTCATCTAAAGTGTTTCATCAGGGATTGTAGATGATTGCTGAAACAATTCATGCATATTCTTTTCATTTTCCTCCTTGTTTTCACCTGCGTCTGGTATGATTGGTACTCCGATATTGTGGGTACTGAAAAAAGATAGAAAACGTCAGTTTGATAGAAGTGATATCTTGTCCACCTCACATAATGACTTAATGCTCCATTTTGCTTCTTAGATGAACGAAACAGCCGGTAAAATATGTATGGATACCCTCAGGCCTACCCATAGAGCTTTTACATTTATTTGCGAAAATTTAGTATTTCGTGTTTGTTAACCATATCTTGTATACTCTGAAAGCCCATATATGATTGGGCGTAATTAACAATCAATCGGAAATGAAATTTAGATTTCTAAAGTTTCTTACAGGAAATGAATTTAGCTGAAGCCATGGAATATCCATTTATTCAACATTTGTAGAACGATCATTTCACGCTAATTTTCCAAATATAATTAACGGATCTCTTTTGCGAAAGCTTAAAATGTTGCATACCAACGCCCTATTTGTAGAGCTGTGCCCAGTACCTCGTAAATCTGTCGATTTAGTTTCTAGCACGTAGGCCATAAACATGGTCATAAACATCGACCGTTTTAGTTTCTAGCACGTAGGCCATAAACATGGTCAGTTTTTGCATATACGAGTACATGTTTATTTGTACTCCGTTTATAATTAGGCTCAGACTGCTTTTCATCCCATCGAATCCACCATTATTCCATTTTGATAGGTGTCGAGTCTGTCTGTCTCTGTTTTGAAACACGACCCTCGATGTCTTATGTAAATTCAACAGATGACCCTTAGGTGATCAAACTGCGCACAGCACAATTGGTTTAAAAGTCTTTACATGGCCTGAAATAATGTCGATTGTCAATATCAAGTGAACATTTTCCCCTCTTACTTGGCTCTCCTTAAGTTTGTTTCGTCACCGCAAACAAATTTCTCTTGTTTAATTCAGCTGGTTATACATGTTACACAATTATTCAACTCTGCTGCTATAATTCGATGGTTGGCAAGTTATGAATGCATTACAGTTTCTAGGAGTAATTTTCTTTTTTTAACTTTTCACAATGAGCACACCCAGTGCATCGCTTAAAAGCATTCAAACGGTAAATTTGCTCATTCCTCCGTAAAGCGAAGAAGTTAAATTTTGCTCAGAAACTCACACAGGGGTCATTATTCATGCTGGGTGCACAGAAAAACACGAGTAAACTTGAAAAGAAATTCAAACAGCCCAGCAATATTAAACAGGTGTTTTATCAAATATTTGAATATCAAAACCAGCGGAGTAAATATGTCTTGATTCAAACAACAATATAAGTTTTCAGCCGCCAGGTATCATCACAGCACTCGAGAACAAGGCCCTTGGCATTGCAGTAAACATTGAAGGAATGATGGTCGAAACGTCTGAGTCAAGTCACATCTCACTGGAAGACGATGTTCAATCTTCATTTCTCACTTTCATTATTATGTTAATTAGTCACGTAAATGACTTTTTAAAAGTCCAAGCATCGTATGTCATTCGACCCACCAGAGCTTAATCAATTTTATCCCCCTTTGTGGTTTTTTGGTCATAGTACGCTTTGGATGACAAAGAAGGCAAACGAAAAAAAAAATTGCAAAGATTGTGAAGCTTGGAAAACAAAAATTGATGTTCGTGAAGTTACGAATTCTAAAAGAGACTTTCTAAAGTGGAAGCGGAGACTAAACAATAACTAGCCTCTACGGCACCAGCACACCTGAAGCATACAACAGTATAAACTGATCTACAACATGCTAATCCGACTGTTAGAAACGAGAGCACTTCGTAAACTTATCTTTCTGGTCTTTTTAAAAGCAATGATTCGTTATACCCTCGGTGGTCCGTACGCCTCAAAGTTATATCCTTTCGGTAATGAAGCCGGCGACTCAGCTTTGCCTGAACGCGATGATGTGAGCTCAGACGAAATTTTGCCGACAACGTCGTTTCATTTCTTCGAACTGGAAGTCGAATCGTTTTACGTAAGTATTGGGCGGCAAAAAATATATTTTAAGGAGTGAGAAATTTGTTCCAAGCGACTTTAGTAAATTAATCATCTTGTTTTCAAATTTGCTTCACTCAAAGCGAAACTGATTCTTTGAGTTGGTTGTTTGTTTTCCTTCCTCCCATCGGCTTTTTTACTTCCCGTTTATAAACAAAATCAAGTAGCTTCATGGGGAATGTGTTACAAGTTCGTGGGATCGGACAAACGTACTTAAAAGTTCATTGATTAAAAAGCTGAGCGAATCTTCATGAAAGTTGAACTGCAGGCGTTGATAGATATTGTGGGCGGACGGCAAATTTCCCTCTTATTTCGTTTTCTTTTCTTTCAAGCCTTAAATAGAATCAGTGGCAAAAAAAAAAAAAAAAAAACTTTCGCAAAGAATGCAAATTTTGCCATTTTTATGATGCACAAACTGAGATGATAAACAGTCACAGAAATTTTTTTTCTTTTTGCCTAGCGTATGCATCTACGCGCTTTTCAGCGCACGGGACTTAAATCTCTTTAATCGGGTATGCGAAGTCATGCACTCAGTTATCATTTAAACGTTAGAGATCCTAGAGAACATATATATATATATATATGACTGACTCAACGTCGGTAGTCATTGTACATGACTGTACATGTAGTGCATGCTAGCAGGTCCTTAGTGGTTATTACTGCCTTATTTTAACTGGCAGGGAATGCTTTGTTTTCTTATTGAAAATTCAAATTACAAGTATCAACCTCCAACGGTGTTTTTCTCGTGTATTCACCGGTGAGTGTTGCGAAGTGTATGCCTGTCAAGATTCCCCACTACCATTTTATATGAACACACATATAGCAACCATTGTTTATCCGGTCTTTAGGGTAACTTCTGGTTTTTCCGTTACAGCAAATTTGATGATATGTATTTGTAACTTTCAACATACTGTTGTTTCCAAATCAAAAATTGACTGTTTCAAATAAAAAACAATGTACACAGTGAATCTATGAATTTTAGTGCCTTTTCATCCAGTGAATCTTTGAGCGACCATTCACTGTAAAACCGTTCGCATGGTTTGATCATGACCGATGTTGCCGAAGGCTACGCGGCAAGTCTCACATATTTTGAATATGCATACGCATCACGTTTTCTTTAATCATAATTTGTCTCAAAGACCACGCAACAGAGGGAGTAAAATTACTTTCGTGACCAGAGTAAATAATTAATGTATACTTAAGGATTGAACTCGCAGTCAATATCGAGGGATTCTCGAGAGGATTACGTCTACGATGAATGAAAAAGGCAAAGAAATATGTATGAGCACCTGCATCAAAGAGTTTAAAATACAGGAAGTTTTCTGGATTTTAAGACGCTATTAGCAAATACCACCGGATGGAATACAGGAGAGCGCATGTAAACGTATATTTTGAAGCACAATTCTGTGATACTTTTTTTCTAAAGAATTCGGCGTCGTAGCTACGATAAAACAGTCCATCTGAGCGTACAGTGAATCATAAAGTAGTTTGAAGTTCGGGTGAAAGTGACCTTTACCAAGCATTTCGTACATATTTCGACATATTCTGGAAAAGTTCGGCAATTATCCTTTTGCTAATTAAACTGATGTTTTAGGCTACTTCCAATTCTGCAAATTAAAGTTCCCCGCGGGCGTCTTTGATCTGTTTAAATGTATTTAACGCAGCTATACATGTTAGAAGACTTGAGGTACAAATTCTTTTTAAATCAACAACTTCCTCTTCGCGAAAATAACCACGGCTGCTGAAATTTAATCTGTTTGCCTATTGCTGAGTTTTAGCCTTACCGTGGCATTCTCCGTCCTTGATGACTATGAAATCAGTCGAGGAAACTTTTTTGAAGCTGTTGTTATGCAGAGTGACAAATCGTTAACAAGGAGTTAAGCCAGAGAAATTCAAAAAAAATATTTACTAAGCCGGATAAGAATAGTTTTCAAGGGATTTGAATGACTCTCAACATAAGCGGCTGCTTTCTCGCCGGCTAAAAAGACGCCAGCAACCGGCTCTTACCAAATCCCTGGTTATAAGGTGACAATTCTCTGGTGATTTTAAGTATCAGAGCAACTTAAATTTCTATCATGGGATTTGTTGGGTTTCTTTAAAAACGTAATATAAGGAAATTGTAAAAAAAATATTCTATTGAGGTCACTGGTTCAGTATCATGATAAAAATAACGGTTGTAATCCAAATTGTAATAAACAATCCGCTTCTTTATAGTTACCACTTATCATTGTAGTAAAATTTAAAAGCTATATTAAGTTGAATCGAACTGAAAATCTCGTCTACTAGGTACATGAAAATGGACTCATCTCGTTTGGTTCTCCGTTAAAAGTCCAAGAGCCATCATCTTTTCCTCTTAACGACAACGCATATGTAGCCGCGCCATTTTGGGCCGATGTATTTACATAAAGAGGAGGTAGGGTCTGGTATCGAGTTACTACAGAACAAGCGATCATTTCCCGAGCGACGAGAGACGTCATTCGCTCATTTCCACACGACACAAAATTTGTTGCGAACTGGGCTGCCATCGTTACATGGGATGAGGTCGCATTCTTTGGAGCCAGCAGTATATACACAAAGAATGTGAGTGACAGGACAGGGATGAATAATGAATGCAAAATGCTACATCAGAGGTCATCAACGTGGGCTCGAGTGTTTTAGGTCTAAAATTTAGCGAAATTAGCGGAATATAATAACGGCTGACATTTAAAACCGAGGAACTTTGTTTTCGTCAAAGGCATTTTCCTATGTTCAGAAGATTTAGGGAGAAAATACATTTTCAAAACTTTTTTAGGGGGTTTTTGGAAGTTGTTCTGTAAAGGAAAAAAGGCAAGGAAAACGAGGCCTCGAATAAACAGAATGGGAAATCAACCTTGCAAACTACTCAAAAATCCGTTTTCCGCGGTAAAACCTAACGCATGCGCATGCGTTATTCAGCTCTTTCAAGTGACAGTGTTTGAATATTCGAGAAGCGTATTTCTTGGTTGATGACCTCATAAATAGCGATGCTCTTTCGTTGGTAACTGGTGAATTAGCTCCATTGTAGGTCGGTTCGCCCCCAATCGCCCACTTTTATTGCTCGCAAAAGTGTTATGGGGGGGACTTGCAAAGGGGTGAATTTACCATAAACCCTTTCCTTTCTCGTCTTTCAGACAAACACATTTCAAGTAGTCATAGCAAGTGGTAAGCATATGACATTTGTCTCATTTATCTACGATAACCTTTCTTGGACAACTGGTACCTTGAATGCAGGGGACAATCGAGGTTTGGGAGGCAAAGCAGCGAAGGTATTTACCCATTATTTTCAAGTACCAGGCTGGATATTTCTCTTAGAGCAATGTTCGGTGGAGCGTCGAAAGTTATCCGGGATTGCTTTAGTTTTTCATTATATGGCTAAGTGACATATAATGAGCGAGATGAGATCTAAAACCAGATCAACCCATCTCAACCTTTGTCCCCTATGTTTCTAGCACTTTAAACAGTTTTCTTAATTGTTCTTACTTTCAGTCCTCATTGGTCCATCGAGATAGTTTCCTTCATTCCTATCACTGACTGTTCTGATTAGTTTGGTTTTGGATTTGCGATATCCGTAAAATAATGAGATTTCAGTACTTCTTATCAGTTCTTCCATCTCGTACAAGGAGGTTGCTTAATTGTTTATTTCTTGTAATCATGGAAAATTTCACATATTTCTTGTAGCTTCAATGATAATCTCAAAGTAGGTAACACTATCTGGGGTTTTAAGGGATTTAAATGATGTGGAATCTATGTAATGGTGTCCGTAACAAAAAGAAACTATCGCTACCTGAAATTTGCGATGTTTTGCACGAAAAAAGACAGTTTTCAAATGAAATGAAAGAACGAAGCGTGCGTGGAAAGGAAGGGGTGAATAAAATAGTATATGAATGGAGAGAGAATGGGTAGAAAAAACATGGACAGTTTCCAAACATATCTTACTAAAAATATTACGACAAATTTATTCCTGACCATTTAACTTTTACTAATAAATTAGAAATGGTAATGGAAAAAGCCAACCGGCTAGCTTGGTCATAATCATGTTTACGCAGGTTGGGTTTAGCTTCGGATCCTCATATCGAAATGTGCCATTTTCTGGGACTGAAGAAGTTTTAAGTCTCGTAAACAGAACTAACTGTGGTCAACCGGGTGTTTGGATGTTCAAAGTTGATGACGAAAAAAATATGAACGAAAAGAGATGCGAAAGCTTAGGTAAGATTAAAAGCTTAAAAACACTATTCCCTCTTTATGGTGATTCCTGTGAACTTTTTCTATATTTCATTGATTCATTCCTCCTTCTCTTATCATATTGACATCGATCATTCCAGGTCATCATTCTGCACACAAAAATAAATCTACATTTGGTTTTTAAGGCTTTGCAAACTACATCGCCGTAGAATATTATCTACTGGCATTTCAAGCATATACGCACATCCTACCTTCACGTTTAAATGGTTGAGAAAAAACAATAAAAAGTTCAAACCGATCAAGTTTAGTATGGAAATGTCGCGAGTAACAAGATTGCGTAGAGTAATGACTCGTCCTAAGTAACATCAATCCATTCCTGAAAAAGAGCTTTTTTAAAAACAAACCTCTTCCTTCGGTGGAATAGGAATAGCGTGTCTATCATAGGTTTATTATCCAACTACACCTAGACGAGTACAAATAACGCCATAGACGAGTACAAATATCACGCGGTATTTGTACTCGTCTATTGCAATACCGATTAAACAGGTTTTCTCGCATCGCGCAAGCGAAGAATTGGATTGTAGTTACGAAAAAAAAAACAAATGGCGGACAATTTGAATCATATTTCCGACGACGAAGAGTCAGAATGGCTGGCAAATATAGATCCAAGTTCATTAGATGAATCGAACGAAGAAAAACAGCTTGACGACCAGAAAATTTCTTCATTTAATGAAGAAAATAGAAACAGCA